TTATGTGACCAAGATAGTTGACTTGCTGGTCGCCAAAACTGCACTTGGACTTTTTTACAGAAAGGCCATGGTTGCGCAAGATTTCTAAGACGAGGCGCACATGATAAACGTGCTCAACCCATGACTTGCTATAAATCAGTATGTCATCAAAGAAAACGAGGACAAACTTGCGAAGGTAGGGCCCAAAAATATCATTCATCAAACTCTGAAATGTGGAGGGTGCATTAGTTAGGCCAAAAGGCATAACTAAGAATTCAAAGTGTCCATGATGCGTACGGAATGCTGTTTTTTCGACATCCCCAGCTGCCATCCGGATCTGATGATATCCAGAACGCAGGTCGAGTTTAGTAAAAAATTGGGCCCCATAAAGCTCATCTAGCAGCTCATCAATTACCGGGATTGGATATTTATCCTTAATCGTCTTGGAATTCAATTCCCTATAATCAACGCAGAATCGCCAAGCACCCTCTGGTTTTTTTACTAATAATACAGGCGACGAAAAGGGAGAATGACTTGGGCGTATGATACCTTGCGCGAGCATCTCTGAACATTGTCTTTCGATTTCATCCTTTTGAAAGTATGGGTAGCGGTACGGACGAACAACGACTGGGCCTGTTCCTGGGATGAGGGAAATTCGGTGATCACAAGGCCGAGAAGGTGGGAGGCCGGTTGGTGGGCAGAAGATATCCTGGAAGTCATTCAGTAGGCCTTCCAGCCCTAATACTGTTTCGGTCAACATATGGGCATGAGGAGGCGTAGTTGCAATCTGTCCGTGCCATTCCACTTTTGCATTCTGCCATATGAATTGCATAGAAAGGCGGGAGAAGTCCCATACAATGGATCCGAGGCCTTGAAGCCATTGTACTCCCAAGATCATGTCAAATCCGGCTAAGTGCAGTACATAGAAGTCTGCCATAAATGTGCGTCCATCGACCATGAATTCCAGCCGAGGGCAGGTTCCCAATATAGGCACCCGTTCACCATTAGCCACCAAAACCTGAAGACGGGACCCAGGTTGGACTGGATGATCAATATTAGAAACTAGCCGTTGATGCACAAAATTGTGGGTGCTGCCTGAGTCGACTAAAACCGTGATCGAGGTGTTGTGAATGTGTGCAGCTAACTGCATTGTCGATGTTGTCCCAGCACCAACCATAGCATGAAGTGAGAGGGGGGGCTCCAGGTCATCCTCCACGGGATTGTCTTCCAAAATTTCAATGAAAAACAACCGTTTGCATTTATGGCCACGAACCCACTGATCATCACAATTATAACACAACCCTTTCTCCCGGCGGATGGCAGCCTCTGCAGGAGAAATCTTTTTAAAATTCGGAATGGAGCTGCGCCGAGGTTGATTGGATTCGGTCAGTGTGGACGCATAGCCTGATCGTGTGGCAGGTTGGGGTGGAGGGGAGATCTCGACCGAGGAGCCTGGCAAATTATATTTGCGTTCAACATTACGTGCGAGCATCATCGCAGAGTCAAGATCTAACGGACTTTGGTACTCAACCTCCATGCGGATGACCTCCCGAAGGCCAGCTGTGAATATTTTGACTTGCATTCGTGTAGAGATCCCCACGGTTCGAGCCAATAATTGTTGAAAATTCTCAATGTAGAGCTCCAGATCACGAGTTTGACGAAGTTTGGCAAGATCACCTTCTGGATTAGAACTACTGGGTGGGCCAAAACGTTTGATGCAGCGAGTGTAAAAATCTGTCCATGTAATCTCTGAAATTCCTGTCTCCAGTTGATCGGCCCATAGTTGGGCGGTGCCGAGCATGTGGAATGTTGCCAATCCCACTCGAGCTTGGGCCGGTGTTCGTTGTTGAATAAAGAAGCTTTCACAACGTTTCAACCACGACAAGGGATCACTTTTACCGTCAAATTGAGGGAATTCCAGTTTGGAGTAGCGGGGGACTACGGAGTCATCAGTTTCACGCCGACGATGTTCTGGGTCGCGTTGTCGTTCATGCCGTGGAATGCTGGAGGAAGATTCGTCCATCAATCGTTGCAGGTTGGCAGCTAGCGCGGATACAACGTTAGGAATGTCGGCGAGCTTTGCCATAGAATCCCTGATGTCTGCCAATTGATGTTCGACTGCCAGTTGCCTGTGATCGATGTTTTCGATCATGTCTTTGAGTGAGCCAGCGTCAGCAGCGTCTTTCGCCATCGTCCTAGATGCTGATACCAAGTTGTTAAGGGCAGACGTACAAGATCTCGTCCAAGGACGAGAACGAGAGACTGGCAGGGAACGAGAACTTCGAAAATTCTGAAATTTGGAATCTATGATGAATGTATTAACTGGAAGAATTAAAAGAAAGGCTCAGTGGAATTAATCTGATCTTGGAAGTATTCCAGAGATCCAGAAATTAATTCTCCAAAGCTGTTTATTGAATAATACTAATGACCCTTATATAGCTATTACAAGAGTCCTAATTCTAAAAGGAAATAAATGCTAATTAAGAAGTTTCCTAAAACTGTCAGATCACAGATTTCTTTCTCAGCCACTTTGGATTCCAGAATCGTCCTTCCTGATCATCCGATTTCTACGTTGATATTTCCGACCATAGAATTGGTCTGTAACAGTTATTTCTGTTTCATTACCTTTTTTCTTGGTCAAGTATGGCATTGTGATAATAATTTAGTTTTAGTCTTGTTTCAACTCTCAACCTATGCATCTAGTGGTATTTAAGCAATTTATTTTATGATTGCTTTATTAGCCCTTTCCCTTTTGTTTATGGAGTAGACATTAAGAAAGACTGGAATGCCTAAAGCAACTATGTTCCCAGTTTCCCACCTGCAATATTAGCTATAATTTAATTGTTCCAATTTTGTACTGCTCTTGGAGAAATTGGAACATGGGTTAAAGCATTAAGGAAATGGTTTTATGAATGGATGTGACTACAGGAAGATTTTTTTTTTAATTTAACCAAAAAGAGTCAGAATTCTTCACTCTCTTTTCTCTCTATATTCGGGTGGAGGATTGATCTCTTTTCGCTCTATCGTTTTCTTTTATCTTTTTATCTTCTTTATCAGTTTATCTTTCTTATGTTCTCATGTTATTTTTATCTTTTATCTTTTTTATGTTCTTTTATCTTATATTTATCTTTATCTTATCTTTTTTTATCTTACATATTTTTTTTATTTTTCTTATCTTTCTTTTCTTATTGGCTCTGATGTCATGGATCGATTCATGTTACCAGACCCCAAAATCTTTGGGCAACAAGGCTTGAATGTTGTTATTGTTGTAACCAAAAGAGCCAAAAATAGTGTGGTAGTTATGTAAACTTATAAAGTGATTTATTAACCCTTTATTTGGATCTCAATGATTTTTAAATCATTTTTAGTATCCAAAAAAAATGCCAACAAAATATGTGTGGGTGGGTGTGTATTATGCGTCTCTGCGTGTTCTTATAGCTTTGAAACTTGTGAGCCTTTCAGTAATAATAGAGAAATAGTCTTACGTAGTGACAAACTAACAATGTAGGAGAATCCTTCTCCATACTCATTCAACTAATAAAGCGTCTCGGGTATGTTACATAAATCCTACGGGGTAGCACTGTCCCTCAACAAAATGAGGTAGCACTGTCGCAGAATTAAACACTAAAAAGTGTCAATGAGTGGAAACAGCTCACACCATTCTATTCCATGTACATGCTCCTAATCATTCTCGGGGTGATGCTATTCACACAGCATGGAACTTAATTACACTTATCTTGCCTTCCTCCTCAGCTCCTTCTACATTCAGATGTATGTGCTTTGTTCATAGCACCACATTTGGCGATCTAAGTTTGATCCTAAGGCCTTCACGTGCATATTTAATGGATATAAACGCCTACAAGAAGGGTATCATGGATGCTCTCCATAGCACAGACACTTATATCTTCTGATCATCCCTTTATGTTCAGTTTTCTCCATCTGATCTTTAAGCCTTTATTGATCGATTACATGTCCTAGATTCCAATGTGCCTTGGATATGCATGAAAAAACCAATATGCTTGATTGCATCCCTTATAGATACTCATATACTCCTATGGATCCTAACGTCAAGCTTCACCGATGAGGCAAAACCATTATCTCATCCACAGCAACACAGAAAATTCATTGGAAAGCTGAACTATCTCACTAACGAGTCTACCACACAACCCGACCTACCTTTTATTGTCAGTGTGCTCAGTCAGTTCTTAACATCTCCTTGTAAATGTCATTTAGATGTTATTTGAATCTCAATATCCATCAAGAAGGCATTAGCTGAAGCATTACCTTATGAAGGTCTGACCATGCACAGATTATTGGATATTCTTTTGCTTATAAGCAAGTAGTCCATATGAAAGGTCAGCAACCTCTGCATATTGTTGGATATGCAGATTGGGTACTCTAATATCTTGGAAGAGTAAGAAGCAAGATGTGGTTGTGAGATCCAGCACTGAAGCATTTGCTCATGGAATTGCAGTAAAGTAATGTGGCCCAAATAACACATATATCAGTATATGGGATAACAAAATTGCATAGCATATCACCTCAAATCCAATATATAATGAGAAGACTGGGCATGTTGAAGTTGATTGTCACTTCATAGAAATATCATGCCTAATAACCACATTGTTACAAGATTATTAGCTCTGCTAATCAACTTGCAGAATATTAAAGAGACATTATATGGGTCTGTGATTCAGTATATCTGTAACATTATAGCGAGCCGGTGCATATGATTTATATGTTCTGGCTTTGGGGGTTGAGATGTATGAGCATAACCTAACCCTAACGATGGTGGGATTAGCCCATTCTGTATATCCTATGTAGAGACTTTGATATATGAATAAAGTATATCTTCTTCTTGTTTGCTACAATGAGTGGTATCAGTAATTGAAGACAGAAAAGACAGAACAAAATTCAAAAGAGTAAAAGACTATTCTCATATAAAGATACAATTGATTGTCCTACAAAACTGAAAAATGAAGAAAAAAATACAGATCAAGAATTAAGATAAAAAAGATTACCTGCAAACATAATGAGACAATACACCTGCTGTGCATCATGCTCAAAACAGCACAAACTCGTTCAAGTTAGTCAGTTGCAGATAGCAAGCTTCCCAGTCCACTCATCAGCAACCCCGTAATCAATACTCAGCTCCCTTAGTGGAGGTATGTTCTCCATTGCAAACAGCATAAGGTGAGGGAAGCAGACATTGCTATGATCATAAAGTACCAGCTGAACAAGAACATTTGGACTTGAGCTGTGGCTCATGTAACAGGCTACATTCCTCAATCTGGATACATCCATTGCAAAATCCAATGGCGGGATTGAAGGACGATCCGGGCGTACATAGTCATCATATATTTGAGACAAATCTCCCCATTCAGACCATCTCTCCACGAAACGACTTGGGTATACTAAACTATCACCATTCATTTTGAAAATTTGGGCTTGCTCCATGGTTAGGACAACACCGGCATATTCACAAATAAAGGAGCCAGACTGGATAAGATCCAATGATCTAACTCCCCAACCAGTCTCCCTTGACCGAAACACTTCAAACCTCTTTCTCGCACCATTTTGACTGACTCGGTTCCTACAACTTGGAGGACACTGACAATGCGGGCCACATTCAAAAATTACAGGTTTCCCCCTCAGTAATAAACCATTTTGATCATATGCAAACTCACCGCCGTTCCTCATCATGCAGAAGCAATTGCCAAAACATCCAGTGACGCAATCGCAGCCTGTACCGTTTCCCACATGATGATAGACATGCTGAGGGAAAATGGATTTTGGCAGATAGTCGTAATACACAGGCTCTTGATCGGCATCTATGTCATTGTACAAGAAAACGGGCGTGTTCTCTTTCTTCTTTGATATATCAAGGCTTACATACCCTGTTGGCCTCGCAACCAGTGGCTGTGTTCTGAGAGTCTGTGCAAACCTCAGAACAGAACTTCCCAATTCGGGTTGATTCTCAATCCTAGAAAGTTTAAACTTTAACACAAGAAAACCAGACTTACCCACAGCAGGCCAATAATCAATGATCCTATATAAACCATCATAAACATAGACTTTACCACTAGCACTACCAGCATATCTAAAGCCACGAACCACCCTAACCTCAATCCCATAGTGCATGCTTCTCTCCAACGCCAAATTCCCACCTTCAAGTTTCTGATTCGTGCACTGCCGGGAGAACTTGTCCTGTCCACCATGCCCAGTATAGACCAGCACATCCCCTGCATCCTCATCGTCCTCATACCCCCCAGAAACTATGATGCTAGTGGCAATTGGCTCTTTGTTTGAGCTCTGACTAGCGGGAACATAGTCAATTCCAGCTTGAGGCTGCCCATGCAACCCAACCACGCACATTTCCATCCGGAAAAAGAACAAATCACCTATGAGCACACCAGGTATGTTACCCACAATACGCTTATCACGATTCAACCAGAGCCCTTTCTCCCTCATCAACTGCGACGCCTTCAAGTCCCCTCTTCGTTTCCTGTGACGTTCATATTGCAGGTTAATATCAACCTTCTCTCTAGCCAATTGTGAGGCGTCCAGTTCTCCTATGGATTTTTGAGGGTCCAACTGATGTTTCTTCTCATCGTCGAGGATAGACAGAACACGTATAGAATCATAAAGCATCCGGGTCCTCCTAACCACATCCCGGAAATACCTTTCATCCTCAGGTTTGAGATCCGTCACTCTGACCAGCTCAGACGACCTCTGCTGATACTTCTTCTTCGAAATGACCAAACTAGATGACTGTGCATCCCCATTTACGGGCACAATAGCTCTAGAATCTGGATCCTCCACAGCCTCCACGTCCCCGTATGGCTGCATCTTCTTAGCAAAAGCACCCAGAAACATATCAGAAATTCGACTGAATTCCGAAAACACATTTGCGTCCTTTGAGGATTGGAAGACGTCACTGGCATTGAAATCCTGGGGGCTGCTAGGACTGAAAGCAGAACTGAAGCTCGATTTGACATTAGAGCCACTGGGGCTAGGGTTTGGAAAGATCGCTGGGGTTTGAAGGTCGGCTTGGGTGAATTCATCAAGCGGCTCGAGTTTGGGCTCGATCATCTGAGCTCCCCCCGCAGCTGCGGAGGTGGAGTTGGATGGGAAAAGTTGGAAAAATTGAATCAAAGAATCCATCTCATGAATCCTTTTCTCCCGTTTCTTCAAATTATGTAACAGAGATTGGTGAATAGTTATCGAGACAGATTCGAGAATCGGTGATTCCTGAAAATGGGAAGTGGAAGTTGGTGATTCATGAAAGTTCGTAGAGCTATGGCAGTGAGCTGCTCAGACTGGGAGGGGATTTCATGGAAGTACACGTTAAAATGAATCTACACGTGTACAACAGGTTTCGGATGGGCGTTAGTGATAGTTTTATTTTTCAAAAAATGCTTCAGGTACACACTTTGTGTACACTCGTCTGTTACAGAATTGTCTGTGACAGACAAAATTTTCTTAAGAGACAGACGAGTGTACACAAAGTGTGTACCTCTAGCATTTCTCTTTATTTTTATAGCGACAAAATAAATGAAGTAAATTTAGATCTAGTAAAAGTATGGAACGATCTACCATTCTACCCTTCTCTATGGTTGCCACAAGGTAATCCCTAGCCTGAATTTATCCGCTATCGTCCTTTGTTAAGGAGCTGGGCTGGATTTTTAGGGCCAATTGTTGAAATTGGTGAGTCTTCTCTCTAGCGGCCATCTCCTTATGAGTTAGGGTTTCGTTACTTCCGCTTTTGTCATCGATGAAGAGCGGCCGTCGGTAGATTTCGATCGTGCAAGCAGGCTCGGGACCAAGGATGCAGTGCTTTGCCGGTCATGGCTCGACTTCTGCTATTGTTTCTGATCAAAAGTCAAGTGTTGACAAATAAAAGGTGGATAAGCTGTGGCGGAATATGTTTTCGATTCAGCAGCAAGGGACGTCAAAGGATGATATCATCATTCAATACAAAAGGATGACTATTGAGGCGGATGAGCGGCGGGCGCGTTCCACTCCTGAGCCGCCGTCATGGAATGCAAGCAAGTTGGGTTTGGAAGAAGATTGGGGAACTCTGTTTTTATTCCATTTTATTTTGTTTGTGTTTTTCTTTCGAATTGCATTTTGTTTTGGACGTGTTCTTATTTCCTAACAGATAGATTCTAGATTTTAAGTCAGGTGATGCGTGGTTTGCTAGTCATTGACTCAGTTAACCATTACAGGATCAGCGAATATTATTGCTTCTACAGAGGTGATATATTCTAAGTCTGGTTCGAAGGCGGACGACATACATGATAAGACTTTTTATCGCTTTGTTTATTTCTTGTTATTTGATTGTATTATCAGCCATGTGACGAAAAATATTTTGATTTAATGGATTTGTTGGATTTGATGATAAAAAAAGATTTAGTCAAAGTATAAGATTAATCTAGATCGATAAACTCGGATCTCGGATACGTATTAAGACATAGGGTAGAAGTTTGTTTAAGTTGAGATGAAAGTAGATTGATACATTAAAATTACCTTCACTTATTATCTTGCATGTAAAATAGAAAATATATGATCTGTCTCAATAGCTTCGAGTTATCTGATTGTTGAAGCCGATGAGTAGAAACCAATTATGCTGAAACTATGTCTCGAATCTCGTACATCAATTCATCGAGATGCAAAATGCTCATCGTACATTCAATGTCAAAATTCAATCCATGCGAGCATTATATGATCATACACTCCATCAAATCGATCACTTAACATGATAAATGTTACTCAAGCATATCATATTTACATCATTTTGTGCATGTTATTCTTAATCCTATAAGGTTTAATCAATTTTCTCTTGCTGGACTTTTGAAGCAAGAAATTTTTTCTTATAGAGGAAAATTTATTTTTAAATGTAGCTACAAGGTGGGAATGCACCTATATAACGTTGTAGTCCATAAAAGTTCAAAATGAATTTGATATGTTTTAAGACAATGGCGAAAAATATATTTTCATATTTTAGAGAGAATGAAAGTCGGGGTATTAGTCCATTTAGGGCTGGACTCGGCCCGGTTCGGGCCTGGGCCCGGCCGGGCCTCGGGCCAGGAAAGGGGAGGCAAGAGCCCGAACCGCCGGTGGCCGGTTCCGGGCCAAACCGGGCCGGGCCGAACCGGCCCAATTAATTTTTTTTTGTTCTCCTATTTAATCCCCTACCCCTCCCCCTCAACCCCAAACCATCCCAAACCACCTCAAATGGCCCAAAATACCTAATCCAACCTAAAACTTAAAAAAATTTCAAAAAAAAAAAAAAAAAAATTAAAATCCGGCCCGGACCGGGCCCGAACCGGCCGGGCCGGTTCACCAAAACCTGGGCCCGAGCCCGGACCGCCCAGCACCCGGGCCGGGCCAAACCGAACCGGTGGACCCACCGGGCCACGGGCCGGGCCGGGCCAAACAGTGACCGGGCCGGTTCGGTCCCGGGTCGGGCCGCCCGGCCCGAGTCCAGCCCTAAGTCCATTATATTATAGTCATTGAAGAAAATGCTAAACTGTTTTTCAAAATAGTGATTTATCATTACATCATACCAATAAAAGTTCAGTGTGAAATGCAATTCCATACATATTAAATTTCATAGTGTTTGTTTTCAGCATTCTTGTCATAAAAAAAATGATAGAAGGCTTGCTCCTGCTTCTTGCAATGAACTGCCCTTTACAAGACATGAACTGTAGTTGTGGCTACCGATGAGGTCAATATCCCCCCCCCCCCCCCCCCCCCGAAAATTCACCACGAGTGCGAAGTAAATGTCGGAAAATTCACCACGACGGCGAGGTAAATGTCGGAAAGTTCACCACGAGGGCGAGGTCAATAGATATTTCATACTTTTTAGATTCGATTCAACTACAAAGTCGTTCATTATTGCAAGTATATTCGTGTCAAGTGTAGACTATTGGTCTGCATTAATTAGCACTCATGGGTAAATTTTGAATCCCTTTAAATGTTTATTTGACTTTGAGATGGTGCAAGCATTGATATGTACACCGCACACATAATGGCTTTGATATATATATATATATATATATATATATATATATATATATATATACACTATCCTCCGTATCATAATAGTTGCAACATTGGAAATTACACACTATTCATGTACTTTACTTTGACTACATTTAATTTATTAATGTATGTGAATTATTATTTTTTGAAAAATATTGTTAAATTCATCTCATTACAAAGTTTCATAATCTATTTTTTAAAAGTTTTTTAGAAATAGAGAATTAAATATAATGACGGTCAAAATTGTGCATCGACAAGCGTGAAAAAAGGAATGTTGCAACTAAAAAAGAACGGAGGAAGTATATGCTAATATGCTGATAAATAAGATCACGTAACTAAATAGTCTAAATGTAAGATTCTTGTTTCTAAATTTATCATGTTCATTCAAGTACAAGAGGTAATGATATGTTATCATCTAGACATTTACTTTTATTCTACTCACTTATTCTTTTTATATTGATATATCTAACAACCCAATTTTCGAACTTAGTTTTTGACTTAAAAGAATGTTTCCAAAAGTTTTACAATTTTCAAAAATATGAATATTTTTATATTTGTAAACATGTTTTAAACTTTCCAGATTTTTCCTTAGACGTGGAACAGTTACAAAGTTGGTCATGTTATAACTTATAGGTGGTATATGTTTAGGTTTGATTTGGTGTTCTTTATGTACGTAGTATATAAAAAACAATTGCTCTAGTCTTGACTGCTTGTATTTGGATTATTATTTGCTAAAATGAGACTTAATTATAATATGTCGATATTGTGAAAGAGTTGTATGGCTAATGTGCTAAAGTTCCCCCGTTTTATTTATTTGGGAGGTGCTACTTGTACATATAAGTTATACACATTTCTTAAACACACTCCTAGTTGCCTCTCCTAGTTGCCTGTGTACAGAAACATGTATCACTTATGTGTACAAATAGCTTTCTCCTATTTATTTTAGATGTCACTAGGAAGCTAATGCCAGCACATTACAAAAATCACCGAGTTAAAATTTGGTAGGCAAAATAACTATTTGAAATAACATGAATGAAGAAAGTGAAAAATGTTCTTTAAATAACAAAGTTGTACACTAACTTGCACATACTACAAGATTATTATTTCCATAGGCAAGCCTTTGACAGCAAAAATGATTTCAATTTGAGCAGGTGAACAAGTTGGTGTACTACTTTGTTTTACAAATAGCACAACTGCGTGGTCAAACGCTCACCTATACAGAAGGGCCACAACCATAGTTCAGACACTTTTTTATCTAATTGCAAGCAGCCAGCCAGCCAGCCAGCCAGCAAAAAGCAACAGTTAGAAGAAGATAGTCATATTACATAACAGGTCACCCCGGGTTTCGCCATATTAAATACATCCTAGCCCCAGGAACACTTCCAGGTTTACAGGAATACCTCATTTGACTGAGATTATACATATGATACAAGAGGACTATTACTTACTCTTTTATTTACTACTTCCTACTGAAGAGTTTGACAAGCAAACCAGATATTGCAACCATCAAGCAGAGCAGCTGTAAGATCACGATGCGAGTCAGCCTCCTCTTCATCACTCTCACGTCTTCCATAACTGAAGTCAACCTCGCATTGATTTCACGTATCACGTTGACATCAACTGGCTCTGTTTCTCTTGGCAGGTAGGCTCCCAGCGCAGGCATGTAGTCCTCTATCACAATGCGAGGCTTCCTATTTGGGCGAACACGGATCCTAGTTGGGTGAACTTCATCATCTGCCGCTGGCCCTAAATTTTCCATCCTGACCAGCAATGTTTAGGTTTAGTCTTTTTGTATTCTTCTGTTTGTTTTAAAGCAAATGATTGCCAAATTCAAATAAACTATGGTAACTTCGAATTGGATTAGGTTTGGTTAGCGGAATGTAATATCACCTTAATTATGTGATTATCTCAGGGAATGTCATGTCAGATTGCAAGAATATAAAAAATGCAGATAATATGATTGCCTAGGTAATTTGAGAATATAGAAATTTAAGGTTAATTGGTGCATTTAGGTGGTATTACTGGTATAACAAAAATGTAATATGTCTAAATAAAAAATACAAGAATACATTAATAAGAATAGTAGAACATGACCAAATCCGACACCAATCTCTTTTGGAACTTAGGCTTGGACGTTGTTGTAGAACATGACCAACAAAACTAGTTAATACTGCATATAACATTAGCTTTCTAACCTTACCAAAGAATCTTAGATAACTCGAACCAAACACTTCTTAGTTTTTTATTGGGAGAATTTGACTTTGCACCCCATGGTTTAGGTTTAGGTGATATTTGACTTTGCACCCTATTTTCAAAATCATTAATGTATGCACCCAAATTCACTATAAAGTCTTGTGATTTTGCACCCCACTCCTTCACAATTTTTGGGCTGCTGGAATGCATACATTAATGATTTTAAAAATGGGGTGTAAAGTCACATATTACCCAAAACATGGGGTGCAGTCAATTACTCCCTTTTTATTTAATTTATTGGATAATAACTTTAAATAATATCAACTATCATTGGTATTCCGGTAAATTACTAATACTACATACGAGTACTATAGAAATAACAATTTCAAAGCTGAACTATTCAAATATATAAAAAATTGATAGTGAGACACTTCCTGACCTCAGTTCGGTGATTAAAATCATCAAAAGCTTATACCAAATCATCAAATAAAGTTCATTTGATAGTTGATATATAATATTTTGATAGGTTCAATGGCCGTATTTGAAGTAAAATAGTTTCTTAGTATTATCTTTGTTATATACTATGTATTTGAATAGTTGGGGTATAAATTAATGACATACAGAGTATTAGAATAGAATGAATTATTATTGGTGATAGTTGATATTATAGAAATTTATAAAGAACTTGTGGTATTTATTTTTGTTCGGGTGGGTTTTAGGCAGTTAGGTTAATACGGTGCGGAAAATCATTGTCAAACAAAACCAAATTGCATATGATTAGATTTTTGTTTCGATTAATTAGATTTGGTCAAAGAGCACTAAAATGTCTACCATGAGTCCAAAAATGGAATAGTAGCATCATCACTGATAATAATAGTATCAATGACAACGAAACGGGATATCAAATATGCCTGTTATTACATGCTGAAACAACATAGCCAAAAGCAGGGGCGTATCTAGGGTGGGGGCAGCTTCCCCCTCAACCCCAATGTGTGTGTGTGATGTTTTGTGTATGTACATGCACATGCACTTAATATATGTATAAATACAAGGAATATGCATTTGGTAACAAGTTAATGTGTTGGTAGAAGTTGTGTTGGTAGAGTGGTAGTAGTGCTGCATTTGTTTAGTTGATGCTTTGACGCAGGTTCGATTCCCAGTAATTGGAAGGTTTTATTTGTTTCATTTTTGCCATTTAAAACTTGTCCTAATCTTCCTTAATTTTGGATACTTTGTTTAGGTCTAGTCTTAATCTTTTATATCATTTAGTATGTAATGTAATTTACTGACTACTAACAAAATTTTAAATTTTCCCGAATGTACAAATTATATAAAATTAATATTTCTTGTTTCATCTGTCCAAAATTGATTTTCATTCGAGGTTTTTAAGGTTGAATGATGATAAAATTAAAGCATCCCTGCGAATAGTTAAATCAATTTTATTAGTTCAAAGTTAACTATTTTGAAATGTTAAATATGTAAATAAAACGAAACCGTGTTAATCAAGAAAAGTTGAGGGAGTACTATAAATGTGAAGTTACATAAGCAATAAAAAGTATTTGTAAAAGGAATATAAAGATATTTTATAGAAGAAACGCAAAGTAAAAAACGTTATAATATCTTTTTAATAAGTGTTGTTACTTGTAGTTATTTTTATATTTTGAAATGTGTAAGATAACAACCTTCCTAGTGTAAATTTGCTCACTCAAAGAAAATCCTAGATTCTTAGATAGGCCACTAGCTAAAAGGATGTAAATTTTTGCGGTAACAGTGAGCTTGTTGAAGCACTAGACCCATTTTCGAAAAGGAAACAAAAGAGGCGTCAATCATATTATGAGAAATTTGAACAATTTTTGTATTTTTTCGTATTTTGGAGGAAAAGAGAAATGAAACCCTAAGAAGGATTGAGGGAAGAAGTAGCTAGATCAGTTAAAGGGGTGTTTCATTGGATGTATTGGCCTTTGATTTTAACCGATGAACTGAAGCTGGATGAGAATGCTTCTGATAAACCCATACAAGTATAAAATTAACCAAACGAACCAATAAAAGCAGAAATGCAATAGAGAGAAAGATGAGAGTGGAATACCTAGAGTCTTCTCCGCCGAGAGCAGAGGGCCGCTGGGAAGAATGTAACCGGGAGAGATGATCGTTGCCGGTGGACTGAAGGCGGCGGTCTCGGCTTCCTTGTCACAGAGAGGTTCTCCTATGCACCGCTTTGGGCTGAAATTTTGGGCTCTGCATATATCAAATGTTTGACTCTACAAGCTTCAAAGAGATAATTACGGAGTGTTATTGTTTTTACTAATATAAAGAGCGAATTTTTATATTAATATTAAAAAATCATACTCTTACAACACAACAATCATACAACTATGACAACACAACAATCATACAACTATGACAATTGAAAGTCTTATAAATAGATATAGAATTAGTTACATTATATAAAGTAGCTTGATTTGATAGAAACAAAACTGAAAAATTTATGCCTAAAACAGTCGAAAATGTCTATCAAAAGGTATTTCAGACATCTAAATATCCAAAACAAATTTACTCGAAATAAAATAAAAATAAGTACTACTAAAGCAAAATAAAATTGAAATAATGTTTTTTCACAAAACTTTTCTTGGCATAGAGGTAGTTCTAAAAGAGTACGAGCTCTACTATCTTTTACACAACCCAAAAGAAGGCAGATGGAAACCCCTGACAAGCCGAAGCTGGTCAGGACATCAAAACAACTCCCCACACCGAGGAGATAAAACAACTCAGAGCGTCAGTGCCCAGGAAAGAACCGTCATAGCACAAAACGAATACAATCAGATATAGAATCTTCGAGAGCTGATGAAATATAGAACAAGATGTAGAACCTGTTACATGCTTTGATGCGTCGTTTGTGCTCTTTTAGTTGCGTCGTTCGTGCTCTTTTAGCCGCGTCGAAACACGGGAAGAAGAGAAGAGTTCTAATACTGCCGCCCATAATTCGATCTTTTTGTTATTCACAGCCACCAATATTGAAATAATAATTAAAGTGTTTAGCCATTAATAGTTAATACCAATACAATAAAAAATCATCATAAATTTATATAAAAGAAATCTGCACATTTGGTATACAATCACTACATTTTAGAACTTTCAAAAGCATTATATCCATGCAATTTTATACTCCGTCATAGATATTTTTACTCGTTTTGATAAATGACTTTTTATCTCCACAGCCTCGATCCCAAAACTAGGTTATAATCAATTGTAAATTTTTATATCTTTTAATCAAGAGAAAAATGAAAAATATATGTATAATACCGAAACAAGAGGCCGGCACAATAAGTTTGGAAAATTTAGGCATGCAATCAAAGGTTTATTATGATCCTCCAATGACCAATGTATGCAGTAGCAGTAACTACTTGTGAAGTTTAATTATGAGACTACTATAAAAGTTAAGATAAGCGAACACTTTGTACTCTTTACTATTTTTTCATTCTTATAAAGTTATAATCTTATATTATAGTAATAGGAAATTTCAAGATTCGTAAGTTTACAGATGTTTTAGGAACATTTATGACAAAATAAAACTTTTGACTAAATCAATACATGCATCAAAGCTAATCTTTTTCATCAATATTCACTTAGTTATGAGAGGAAAATTTAGACTTCAATTAATTACTATTAGTGTGAATATATGTGAAAAATAAACTTCAATTACTATTAATTACTATTAGACTTCAATTAATTACTATTAATTACTATTAGACTTCAATTAATTACTCCTTCCGGTTTTTAATAAACTTCACACTTTCCTTTTTGGGACGGTCTAAAATAAACTTCACACTTTCTTATTTCCTTTTTTTGGCAAAGAAATCTATATCAAAACAGTGTCAAACAGTGTCTCAATAGTGTCAAACAGTGTCTCTACAGTGCCAAACAATGTCAAACAGTGCATCAACAGTGTACTCTACAGTAAAGTCAAATTTCTTTCTTTATTTTGTATGAAGTCAAACTGTGAAAATAAAAAAAAACAAAGGTAGTATATCATTCGAAGTTCTCGTATTACAAATGCTACACACAGACAGACTATATTTCTTTTGTTGATCTTATTGGAATATGCCCCTTTGAATTACAGATGTTTCAAGTTCTTCATATGTATTTAACGGTTTTTATACTTTTACTAAGGGTGTGTTTGAATATTAGTGAATTATGTTAGCAGATTGTTCATAGCATATTAAATTAGGAGATTTAATTTGACTAGTGAAATAAATTGGCATATTCGAAACAAATGTTCAATAATTTAGTTCTTTTGAAGTAATACTAAATCCAATCTAACGTTTTTGTTTCAATGGTTTCGCCCAAATGATCAAATCGTTATTCTTTTGTTTGAACGCTATTTTTCAAACACACCCTTAATGTCAATTGTTGTTATTATACCGACCTATATTCTCACATTACATATTCCAAAGATATCTTTTTCTTGATCTTCGTTATTATTATTAAGAAAAATTCACTTTTAAGGATAATGGTAAAACCCCAAATTTGAAGCGATTTAAACACTTATGGTCGCACGCAATTTAAAGCATCACAAAGGCACATGAAACCCACGTCCACACATATTAACACACTACTGATACTAGAGGGCAAAATCATAAACTGTACACCCAAAAAATGACACAAAATAATTGGTTTGTAGAGGGCTAAAAACAGATTTGTCAACAAAACCTAAAACAGACCTAAAATAACTGGTTTGGTATACAGCAAAAGCTAAAGTTAAAAAATATCATGACACAGTCTACAAGAGTTTGTAGTAGCAATTGTTGCCAGAAAGAAGGATTTCATAGCCTTTCTTGCATGGGCATTTGAAGTGGATCACCAACCCCTCCCCACCTTTCTCCTCCACCCACACTGATTCTTCCGGCTGGGACGACGCCGTTTTGTCCTCTGGTTCATTCTCAATCTGCACCCAAAAACCATACCCAATCAGTAACTTAACTCTAACTTTACTGCATCTTTTTAACAGTATTGACTGAAAATGACTGTTCCATCTAGGATATGCCCAAACCTTAAATTCCCATTATTAAGCTTCCTTCCAATAGAACCAGAAAGTATTAAAAAAAATTATCAATGAATATGTCAAATTGATAACATTTGTATATGATCAGGTTAAAGACCTTTGAGGTGTCATCTTCAGAAGGGTGGTCTTCTTCATTGACCTCTTCTTCTTCTTCTTGCAAAACTTGATCCCACCATTGCCGCATTTGTCTCATCCTTTCCTTAATCTTTTCCAGCCTCTGCAATTAGTTATCAGTCCAAGAATGAATGAACGAATGAAAAACAATCAATCGCTAATAATGGGTCGTTTTAATTAAATTGTTCAAAGATGGAGTTGGTAAAAAGATTCGACCTTTGTGCTGGGACTGTCATCACCGGAGTTCGGAGGGGATTTGACGTTTTGGGCCGCCCTTGCAGCCCTCGGAGGAGTGGCAGCTTGTTGCTGCGGCGGCGGCTGGAACTCTATAGCGACAGATGGATCCGAGATGGATCTGTAGAGAGGAGGAAGAGACGGCGGCGGAAGCGGGGAGAAACCAGAACTCTTCGCCGGTGAAGGTTGTTTGTAAACGGCGCCGGCGTTCTTGGATTTCTCCGGCGAATTCGAATTCAAGAAGTGGGTGAAAGGGATGATGGAACCGAAATCTACCGTTTTGGGATTCTGAAAAGCAAGAGAATCTATTGGCTCCGATAGGCTCCTGTAGAGAAGGGGAGACTGCGGTTTGGAGCAGATAGCGCCGCCGGCGGCGGCGGCGGCGGTGGCGGGGGAGAAGGAAGGTGGGAACAGAGTTGCCCGTTTCGGGGAGGGCTCCGGGAGAGAAGAAAGGAAAGAGGGCGGTGACCTTTTCGCAGAGGCGCCGCATGAGGTGAAGTTCTCGGCTGCAGTGGAGGCGCAGCGGCGTTTGGCGGCGGAGTTGAGGTGGAGCAGGGAGAGGTGATGGATAGCGCCGGTCTCAAATCTGCTGCCTGCTGATATTCCCTCTTGATGATTCTGTCCCTTGAGGATATCTGATTCACCATCTTCTTTCTCTTGATGAAAGCAGAGCATCTTCAATCCGATTAATTTTCAGCTGGTTTCTTGAATCTTGATGATTATTGAATGATTGAAATTCTGCAGAGCGATATGAAGAGTGAGCTTTCAAGTTATGGAGTAAATATATGCGCAAAAAGATCCGTTTTTATTTAGCTTTACACTTTACAGTTTGCTTCTTCTTCTTTCAGTTGCCGTTAGTCGTTATTATCTAAAATAATTTAATAAAACGACCCCTGCTATACGATTTTGCAGCTATTTTCTGGCGCGTGTAATAATAAATAACTCTTTGAAACAATGAACAAAATATGTATCTTACATTTTCAACAACAAAATAATTGTTATTTTACACACAATATTGAAATAAAGTATTACGCAAATAGAATTAATGGATAAAAAATGAAAAAAGTTGACATATGTACTATTGGTAATTTCGTATTGTCGCATTATCGTATATACGTGGGTGAATAATATTGTCTATTCAAACAATTACTTATAGTTATGGAGTACTGCTTTATTTCATTCAAGAGTACAATCCATATCTATATCTATATATCTATTAATCGAAGTAAGTGAGGATCCCGCCTAATTTTAGGGGCACTTGCGTAATTCCACGAAGCTTTGCTTACTCATGCCAAACTCTCGAACTCTTCTCATCCGCTAAATTCTGATCCGCTGAATTCTGAGACGTTTCTTAGACTGTTTGGGTTGAATCTCGATCTCATCTGCTCATCTTTCACCTTGTGTGAATTTCCCTTTAGATTGCCCGCCTCCCAGCGCCTCTCTCACAATGAAAGCTTTTGGCTTCAACGATTTCAACATATGCTAATGTACTAAACTAAGTGCCCATCTACCTTTCCTCACCCTTTGAAATACTCCGTACCAATCTAGGGTTTGCGACACTCCTCCATCCAATAATCGCTTCCCCCACTGGAGTGGTCTCCATGGAAGAGGATCTCCTTCTATCCTACATAGGTATCTCAGTATCTTCATCTCTATTAGTTTACTACTTTACTTATTCTTCGATCTTACTTCACTTGCATCTCCCAAAGCTCTACATGAACACTGGATATTAAAAAGGCAATAATCAGAATAGGGTACGTGGATTGTCATCATCTTAGATTAGGGCTGATTGTAATTGTAATATGTATCTTACTTTTCATTTAATATTAATTATTTCAGCTCAAAGGAATTATTTTTTCCTTCAAGAAAGATTTAATCATTTCTGTCATTCAAGTTTACTTTTTAAAATTTATTTTCAATAGATTTTATTTTTACTCTAGGTTAATTGATTTTGGTTGAGCACAGTAATGGCAAGATGAAAAAAGATGCAGTTCTTCAATTCTTTTTCTTTAATCCATTCTATCTCTCTCCATTACCTATGACCTCATAATATAGTAATGGCATGAAATGAAAAACAGAGCCGAGAGTCAAGAGTATATACATCTTATCGATTGCTTGTATTTTTGCAGAATTACGAAGGAGTGTGTGGTAGCATTATCTTGTGCCTGTTGTATCATTGATTTGTGGCCAATTGTGAACTTCTATGGACTATGCCTAGAGATGAACTCAGTTTATGGAATAGCAAGTTAAGGAAGCTTAAAGAAAGATCGAGTTGATAATGTATTCAGTAAAGTTGTAAATCTCCTTTCACCATCTAATGTAAGTAATTCTAGAGCCAAAACTCCATTGACAAGCTTCTTTTATCTGCAAGTACTAAAATTGCCAATAGCTTTCTTTTTGGAGGATATTCCATTGCAGTTAGGATGGTATTTAGGTTTCAAGCATGTATGATTTCATCTGGAAAGTATTTTATGTTAAGTACCCCGTGAGTCATCAACTGGCCTGGAGATCTGGTTTGGGACAATGTACTCATATTCTTCATTCTTTATTTTCATTTTCTAATTTTTCAATTTCATACTCCATTATATCCCCTTTCATGTAGGCTCTATTTCCTTATTTCAGATTGGTTCTTTCATTGAAACTCTGGAAACTGCCCAAAACTGAATAGTAGGAGAAAAGGATCATTTTCAAATCTACCCGGAATGTTCACATAGCCATTTTTGTTTACTTTTTTCCTGCGTGAGTTTCAAGAAAAATTTTAGTCACACTTATATGTTCAGATTATATTTCGACTTTTGAAAGTTAATTTACAACTTTCTATAATTTTCCTCTATTTTCAATTTTGTTTATTTATATCGGACATGGTAGGAGTTTATATGATGTTACAATATACTACCTCCGTCCCAAAAAACTTTTTGTCATTTTCAAAACTTTGACAAACTATATATTTTTATTGGAAATTATTTATAATACATAAATTACATGAAAATGTTCTTTGTTCAAAGTACTTTCGTGAAAGTATAAAATTTATAATTTCGATAACAATATACTAATCAAG